CTCTCTCTCTCTCTCTCTCTCTCTCTCTCTCTCTCTCTCTCTCTCTCGTACTATTTATAGGGCGAGGTGTCAGAGATGAGTGCTCGTGATGAATTTTAAGCCTAGAGTAGAAATTCTAAAACTAAAAAAAATTACAACTCTTAATTCTTTTTTTCCTTTTCAAATATAATGTGCACTTTGATGTGGTAATCTGCCCGCACTACAGAGTTCAGTCACAGTGAGCAGATCACACTCTGCATACGTCTTCTTTCTTACACTGTCTTAATTAAAACTATCGGGCTCTGTGTTGTGCTGCCAAAGGTAACACAGGAAGCAACATTCAACATCACTGACATTAGCATTTGATAACTGTCAAAATGAGTGTGAGCTTACTTTTGTGAGAGATCTGGCCATGTCCTAGAAGAGAAGAGAGCCAGTTAGCAGACACACGGGTTTCTTTTTAAAAGCTACTTTATCTTTCACAGAGAATGTAAGGAGTTGATTTTCAAAATATTTGACACTTCTTATTTATGTGCCATCCTGAGGAGTAAAGTAGATGAATGCTAACCGAATTACCAATAAAAGCCAAATATGAGCCATGGGCAGAAACCCATGGGAAAGCAGAAAGGCAGAACCGTGGGACTCTTGAGGTCTGTTAATAATAGTAAAGCAATATAATGTACTGACATCAAAGTTGGTTACCCACTTGAATGTGTAGGAGCTTAACACGCACACACACACACACACACACGCACGCACATGCCCCCACACATACATGCACACACGCACACACACACCCCACACACCCCACACATGCACGCATACTTTTTAATTAGGCATAATTGCAAGATCTAGTATTTCCACCATAAAATACTTTTTTACGTGATCATTCACAATAGTAAAATAAAGATTTATAGGGATGTTTACCATAAAGAGCCTTTAACAGGGCCACTTGTTTTTCAATTGAGGAATCTGACAAGAGATGAATCGACATTAACTCTTCACATGCTCCACTGACTACTGTGCCATCAACTCAAGGCAATGGGAATTTCTATCACTGTAGCAAAGGGGTAGCCAAATCTAACCCAAGAAAACATCTTTTACCTGAGCCTGGACCATTAGCATATCTGCAGACCTTTGTCATTTGGATCTTTAGTCAGAGGAGTGTTTAGGTAAGGTTAGTTTCCAATTTGGGTCACCGGTGTTGTGAAGCAAGGGAAATGGATGCCCCCTCCCCCATCAGTCCCCCCTCCCCAGCCGCGAGCTAGTGCAAATGTTAGTGAAGTGCAGATCAAAGACTTATTTATACTCTCAGTATAAGGAACACTTGGGTGCTCCAGGAAGAAGCAAGCATGCCGACCAGGTAGCCTGATAGTTCTAGTGACTACTGCTCATCTCACCAGCATCCCGTTTGCCCATTAATCCAAAGAACTGCTGAGGCTTGGGTCTTCGGGCGATTCTCTGCAGAAGATGCTCAAAGGGCTCCGGCATTGCCTCCTGGGGGACAAACCCGCGAGTAGACAACTTAAGTGAACCAGGACCACTTTCATGGTGCGCCTGAGCTTTCTCCAGAGCCACAAATCCCGCTGAGACCAGAAGCGGGTGGGCTCGCAGGAGTCCCAGACATACTAGAATCTATGCAGCACTTTCTCCATCTGGCTCCGCCTTGGATTTTCTTCTCCCCAAAGTCTACCCAAGGCTCCTGACACTGCGCAACTTTCATCAGTTCCCAAAGGCGCGCTCCTTGAAGCCAATAGCCAAGAACGATATAAAGGGAACCTTGGAGCACTGAATACCGGATTACGGAGTTAGTTTCGCCACTGAGACCCCCTCAGCTCACTAAAATCCCTTTTGTGCCCCCATTGGCTGATTCGCTTCTCTGCCCAGCGTCTCCAAATGCTTTGGCAGCTCAGTTTGACCAAAGACCTCCCCCCCACCCCCGCCCCAAGATCCTGTAAGTTAAGTAGGGATTAAAACCTAATGGGTTTCCAGTTTGGCGAGGACCTGGCTGAATGAAAAGAGAGAGAGAGGGAGGGAGGGAGGGAGGGAGAGAGAGAGAGAGAGAGAGAGAGAGAGAGAGAGAGAGAGAGAGAGGGAAAGAGAGAGAGATCGCCTCTTCTGTAGGGAGACACTGAGCTCCCGACGTCGCCCTCCCTCAGGGAAGAAACTTAGTTCTGGGCAATAAGCCTTGTCGGGGGTGGGGTGGGGGGATGACGCCCTTTACAATACAGTGTGCCACTCTGGCTCGAGCTGGGCTAGTCAGGGTGCTACCGCAAGAGGAAGGCAACAGCTCCCACTCCCGGTTGGGTCTCACCTTGATTTGTTCACTGTCAGACCAGTCGGACCAATAATTTAGATCATCGTTGGCACCGATTTCCTCTGCAAACAGTTGAGTGGAAACGAGAAAAAAGACCGCCACTGCCACGAGGATTTTCATGTTGGATTTCTGGAGAGAGTAGGAGACAGAGGAAAGGGAGAAAGAGACATTATACAAATGTAGGCAGGCGGTGGCCACCCAAGAGTTAGGGGCAGCTGAATTTCAGTGCCACAAGGAAGAACAGGTCCCGCTAAACTAAGATTAAAATAAACACAAAACCCAAACCCCACCAGGTCGAACATTTCTCCAAACCTTTTAAGAAGGCTACTGATGAGCCAAAGAGCCTCAAACCCTCCTCTCCTTGAGTCTCAACGTCCCCTACCCACTGACCCACACTCTCAAGCCTGAAGGTTCTGCAGGTGGCAGACAAAGAGAGGCGTTGGTATTTGCATAATTTCTGTCCCAGCCTGAGGATGCAGCGGGAGCAAAGCCAGGGTGGAGGCCACCTCGGACCAAGGCACGAAGGGCCCCAGGCAGCCTCAGCTGGCTGCCAAGAGTGGTACTCACTGCCGTCAGGCTGCGGGATGCTCCGCAGGTGCGCACTTGCTGGGCGCTCCTCGCTCTCCTTGGCCGCGTTGCTGGAGTGGAGCAGGTCGGAGTGCGCTCTAGTCCCTGCTCCTGCTTCACGGTATTTATCTCAGGCGTGACGAGCCTGGAAAGCCACGTGACACTCTCCCCACGCGACTTTCTGCTCAATATTTAATTAGCCGCCCCCTCGCCTTTTGCTTGCGTGATGGAGACTTTCCGAGACGGTAACCCGTCGGAGTCCATAACATCTGGACCAAATTGGGTTCGAAATGACGCAATTTTAGGGAAGTCGAGGTCTCGCCATCCAATCCAGAGAGACTGTTTTCTTCCGTCTGCAAATCTGTCGCCCCCCTCCCCTCTTCTTCCGAACAAGGTTCAGTGACACCTGAGATTACTCATCAAAACTGAGCGAAGTGACTCATGCCTCGGACTTCGGGAACTTTTCTCTCCAGAGGCGTCAGGGAATCTTGCGCTTTGAGGACAGCCAAATAACTTCAGCACTAAAACCTTGCGAAATGACACGATGCCACTAGCAAGCACTTCAGTGGGATGAAGCAAGCGAGGATTTTCCTTCCATTTCTACCTTTATGTGTCTTAAAGGTTTGTGAGGTGTTGCATCTATGACTGGAACAGCCCTCCCTCCCTAAATCAGTCAAAATACTCTTCCATTTTTCTAGCACTGTAAAGGGGTTTCAGTCTTGTGTTTCAGAGGATGAAAGCAGATTTGTTTTATATTTAGAGAATAGAGGAAGTTAAACCTGCTGTCGCATATAAAACTTACCCATCAGCCATTCAAGGACATCTTTGTTCCCCTGAAGCTTCCTTCTTGTCACACCCAAAAGGCAGACTGGGTCAGAAGAGGGTAATTGTGCCTCCCCTCTTTAGTCTTTGTTGGAGGACGACAAAGGCTGTATGCTTACCTTTGTTACCACAGGGGTGGGGTGGGGGTGGCTCTGCAGATCTGTCAGAGACAGAAGTCATTAGCAAACCATGGTTTTACCTTCTGTTCCAGCTGTATAACATTTTTTTCCATCCTTTGACGAAGTAAATGATGCTGCCATTGTTTGTTTTTACTTTTTGGACTAGGTCTCATTATGTGGCTTCAAATTGGGTATCCTCCTGACTCAGCTTACTCGGTACTGGAACTACAGGTGTGTACCAGCACACCCAGAGTGATGCAGTCTTTCGGATAGTTGTTTTCTTTCGGGAATCATTGTTTCCTACTATGTTTTAGTATAATATGAAGAGGAAAGAAGTGTTTGCAAGCCAAACTGATGTTTGCCTCCAATGTTTATTGTTTTAATCTTGAACGTAGACATTCAGATGGATTTCATAATCTGAACATTCTATTTTTGTTTTCAAAACTTTTAAAAGGAGAAATCGTGACCACAAATGTAGAGTCATTCGCCTAAAACAATTTGTAAATTTCATGCTTCCACTTACATAGAAAATATTTTCTCATGTACTATGTAGTTATTCTGATACATAATTCAGGAAATATGAGATAAATCCTCGATTTCTTCCTTCTATCAACTTTAAAAATCGCTAATTTAGCATTTTTGAAGTATGACCTCTTTTTTAAGACTAGGATGTCATCGTTTTAAGCATATACAATATAAGCATTTCAATACAAGGCAGAGACTCATTAACTGATGCTCAGCATATTCATTCCTGGCTAGCTGAAGATCCCTCCAAGGCTTTTGATATGCCTTCAGTAGGAATTGATGGTCCCCTTGGTTTTGATCTGTTTCCTACCTGAGACTCCAAGTCTTCTTCTAAGGAGCCTTCATTTTCATTGAGTTGTACATGATAATTAGAGAGCATAACCTGGGCATACATTGATGTCAAATTCCTTGCTTCAAGGTTATTCCAATGCATAGAGCTGGAGGCGGGGGTGGGGAGGGAGAATATGGATGTGTCAGTGTGTATGTATTCCATGTATGTGAGTATGTTTAAACATGTGTTCATGTGCTGTGTGTGTGCAGTGTATAAAATCATGAATATGTGGGTACTTCCTGAATAAATCAGATCATAGTCTTTTTTTAACCTTGTGTATTTTACAACGTTTTTAATACCAAAATTCCCACTTGCCAGTCACACCATTAACATGGCCAATCACACAATTGTTAACATGACCAACAGCATCATGTTGGGAATAGACAATAGTTTTTGTTTGCGGTTTTTTTAGACTCTAGGGGCATATCACTATAGGTATGTTCAGTTAAGTTACCTCACTTAAAAATTGTTTTTAAAATGTCTGTAAGTCATTATGCTGCCAAACCTTATTTGCTCATTTTGCTGTCAAATTTAGGAATTGTCTTTAATTTAACCTTCCAGTTGTATAATATGACTCTAAAACAGTCTTTAATCTCAAATCTCATGATATATGTATGTTAATCTTTAACAATAATATACTTAAAGGACTGTCACTTCAGACCTTGTTTTTCCTTTTCTTTCTTCTGATAAACATTTTCTTTTTGCTGGAAACTGAATGTGCTTGTTCCCCTTGGTTCATGGAGTAGACACTTAGTCATCAATGTGGCCCTGTTGATAGATGGTGAGGCATCTAATGAAGATGTTCTAGTGTTGGTACAGCAGTCATTGGGGGTTCCGTCTTTGAAAGAGGTTGGCATAGTTTTTGTGGGGTTTCTGCTTAATTCTTGTATAATTAAATTGTTATATAAAGCAGCCAAGCTCTCACTCAGGGCTGTTTCCTGTTTTTTTGACCCAATCACATCCTCTTGAATGTGTCCAAATAGTTGTGATACTAACTGCTCCAAGATCTTAGCCAAAGGCTAGTCAGTACTAGTACCTAAATCATTTCCAATTTTGCCCATGACATTCATTAAATACTCCTTAATTTTCTTAGTAATTTCATATAATTTCTGACTCATTTTTTTCCTTGAACATATCAGGACTGAATATAGTTGTATTACTAACTACTGCATTTCCTAGAACATTAGGTCTTTATAATATAAATCTTAATAAAATGCAAGCGTTCCTCATGCACATTAAGTTCATGAGTTCAAGAGGGCTAAACAAAGTATCAATGTGTCATATTTCCGTATTTGCCAATTAATCACCTGGAGAAAGTTATAAAGAAGGGCTGGGCAGATAGCTCAGTGGTTAAAAGCACTTGTTGCTCTGGCAAAAGTTTAGTTCCTAGCACCCATGTGGTAGCTGGCAATCATCTGTAATTCTAGTTCCAGAGGATCTGCTGCCCTCTTCTGTCCTTTTTGAGCACTGAATGCACATGGTCCACACAAATGCATGCAAAAGCATTTATACACAAAAAATAAAAATAATTATATATCATAAAAGGAAACCAAATGATGTTATTGCCCATGTTCCTGTGACTGAACATACATCACTTTTAAGCTTTTTTATACTTCTTATAATTTTAAAGAGAAAAAAGTCATCAGATCATTTTCATACAATACTCTACAAAAATGACAAATCAAATAATGTAGAAGAATAAAATAGTTTGCTTTAAAAAATTGCCCCCAGAAGAGCAGGCCCTGCACCTCACTGGGCAGCACAATAGTGCTGACCCAACTAGTATGGGTGCAGGTGAGCCTGCTGGAGGTCCTGAGAGCAGGAGAGCTAGCTCTGCCTCCTGCTGGACCTTGGTATTGAATGAGCTAACCAGGCAGTGCTGGAGAGCTCTAGCCATGTGGGTGCCGGCAGAGATCAGGAAGGGAACCAGGTACCCATGTTACTTTCAAAAGCTTACTACATTATCTTTCTGCCATCTTCTAAACCCTAATAGCAATGCAAACTTGGGGACAGAGATCAAACCAGGAGCCAGTTCAAACTGCCTCCTAGATGTTTATCTTGACAGTGATAGACAAGTGCCTTGCCCAAGAAGCTTCTTCTGGTGAATGCTGAGACACACGGCTGCCCAATTTTATTATTGAGAGTAAGTGGCAGGTGGGAACCCAGCTCTACATAGAACATTTATCCCACCTTCTCTAAGCCTCAGGAAAGAGGGGCTGGAAATAATATGAGGTCCAGTAGACAGGGAGAAGGGCTGAAGAATGTTGTCCTCTGGATGTGACACAATCAATTCAGTCATGATCTCACAGTAGATAGTGTTGTTTATACCCGCCCACCAAGACTGGGCCTGTCATAAGTCAATTGTGATTGGGGGTAGGATTCATGTGACCATACTGCAACTACATGAACTACTGGCTACTGCTGAATTAGGACAGAGAGGCAGCCATTGTCTTCAGTTTTGTACCTACAGGTGAGCCCACCAGGCTCAACACACTTCCCTGGATAAACTCAGTGTGACAAAAGATAAAACAAAAAGACACAGATATAAGAGAGGAATTGGTAAGGAGGAGAAGGTGTTGACAGGAATCTAGAGAGATAGAAAGAGAGGGGATAAGAACAACCAGAATATATTACATACATGTATGAAATCATCAAAGATGAAAATTAATAAGCATTGTGACTGTAAATTAGAATGGCCATAGACTCATGTATGTGAATGTTTGGTCCCTAGTTGGTGGAACTGTTTGGAAAAGGTTGGTGTGGCCTTGTTGGAAGATGTGTGTCACTGGAGGAGCCACATCATTCCTAGTTATCTCTCTTTTTCTGTCCTGTGCTTGTAAATGAAGATGTGAGCTTTTGGCTACTGCTCCAGGACCATGCCTGCCTATCTGCTGCCATGCTTTCTGCCATAATGGTCATGGACTCTAACTTTCTAGAACTGTGAGCCCTCAATTAAAAGCTTTCTCTTATAAGTTGTCTTGCCCGTGATGTCTTATCACAGTAATAAAAAGGTAACAAAGACACGCAGACTTTGCAGATTCAAACCCTAACATAGAGAGGAGCCCTAGAAACCATTTTAAAAGTTAAAAGTGGGTATTTATATTTCATTCAAGTTTAGTAGAAGAAAAAAAGAGGAAAGGGGAAGAAAAATCATATTTAAGTCTAAATATTGTGAACATGTTTGTGATGTTTTAAAGAATAGACATTTATTTGAGATCTATGAATGCCCTGTTTTAAAAACAAGGATGTTAGCATCCTAAGCTTCCTCCCTGCTCCTCACACCCACCTGATTTTGCA